ATTCGCGTGTTCGTCATCATCACGAATGCCCCTATTCTTCTCCCCGGTTTTTCAACACGAAGCCACTCCGACCATTCGCCGGTGATACCCCCGGCACTTCGTGATTATTTCGTAAATTAAAAAGAGAAATAAGAGGAATACGATCGTAGACGCGCGATCCCCGCGGTCGCGGTTTTGACACGCCTGAAGTTTCTCGTCGAAATAACGCTCTCCACGCAAAGATGAAAAGGAAGATAGATAGAGATAAGCATAACGAAACATTTCCGTTGACGTTACGTTATCGTGAATCTTCGGGGAATAAAATTCTAGTCTTGTCTGGCCATAGTTTTACGGGTCGTCGCCGGGGCGCGACGGTGTATACGGGCGGGGGGGGGGGGAAGGGGAGTATGCGGAAGTGTTTACATGCCGACGGCTGACAAGGTGCGAAACGTAGTTCGGGGATAGACGACGATTAGGCGATCCATCCTATCGTGCAATCCGACCTGTCCCTCCGTTTTGATAGATGGACTTCTTTAAGGTCACACATATCGAATTAACTGTTAATGGACGCGCTGTACGCGTCGCGCTTTAAAGCGCTATATGTCGCCCCACAATCGGAGGAAATCCGCCATTCAGGGGCCCCCTCAGCTGGGAACACCGCGCGAAATTTGCTCCAAATTATTATGTAATCCCGCGTATCAACACGCACTCTCGAGCGATCTGGGGTAGCGCGATTGACGTAACACGCGTGGCGACACGCCGCGTTCGCAGATCCACGTAATGATGGAGTATCAATCACCGCTTAAGGGATCGGTATATATTTCGTATGCTTGAAAATGAAAGCGATTATGCTTATCATTATAGAAATATCGATGGAAGCTCAAATGTCCCTCTAAAAAAAGTTAAAATGTACAAAAAGAGCAGAAAAAGCTGTACTTTAAAGCTGTAGGGAATATTTTTGTAAGATATGAATAATTGGATTGCTCTGAATTGAATTGCATAAGAGATTTCAATCCCGCAAAAATTATGCAACAATTAGCATAATAACTATATTATTTTGAAAAAAGGCGTAATTAATTATCTGTAAAAAATTTTTCATATAAAAATACATATAAATTTAATATAATTATGTACGAAATTATCGAACAATACAATTGACAGAATAACAAAATTGTTAAGAAACAAAAAAAAATTTTAATAACGATAATTTTGTTAAAAATAGTAAAAAATACGTATCATTTTAGGTAGAAAAAAAGAAAAAACGTCAAGACTTCGCTATCGTGCGTAACGCGTTGTTACATGCGTAAGTATATATATATATATATATATATAGCTAGAGTATCACTCGAGTAATCAGTGTATCATGCATTACTGTCGATCGAGATAGCGTGACCACTTTAACCCTTTCGCGTTTAATGAGAATCATTTTATAAAGCGGTCGCAGTCATTTTCATGCAAGATTTAGGTCGTAGAAGCAGCGATTAAAAGTTCGTTAAAAGCGGCCAATTATCGAAATATCGAAGAAATTTTCATAAATTGTATATTGTATAAAAAATATTCCACGATTTTCGCATCTTCTTTTAAATGTAACGAATCTTAATATAAAATAATTAAAAAGATATATAATAAACTAACAAGTTAAAAAAGTGACTTACTCCAAAAAAGTGACTTATTTAATCCTGTGTAAGATTTACTTAAGCAATACATCATTGGGATAGTGCCCTAGTCATTTCTTCCCGCCATTCAAATTCCATCTTTAACTCTGTCAATTTTATTGGGTGATGTCGAACACAGATCTGAAATCGTGCAAACACGATTTATTACAAACGTGCGCGATAATTAATATATATATATATCAAAACAATCGCAACATTTATTTTGCATTTTATGTGGAACTTTCAAAGGCGAAAAAGAGGCAAAAAGCAAAGAGGAATATAGAATATAGAATATAGAAATATTTATGCTGCAAGATGCATATCGAGCAAACATAGTGGTCATAATAATCGCATTGCGTTTTATGATCGATTTATTGATTATATGATCAGGTTTACGAAAAACAATATACGCACTATTGACAATAATATTTGATTAGCTAATTATTATTATAACAACAAAAATATAAAGCTCCGAATGTTCAAATAAAAAGTCACTTAAATTAATAACAAAGCTTAGAAGCAAGAACTTTTACTACATTAAAACGTTAAACCTCAATGTGTACAAAACTTTAATATCATTTTTTTTTTAAAGAAACAAAACCTGCTATAATTTTTATATAATTTGAGAAAATGAAAGTAAATCATTTTAAAAAGTTGAAGAAAGTGTTTATATAACAATAACTTTTCAATGTTTTCTTTAATGTTTTTTTCAATAGAAGCAAAACTACCAAATACATGATGATTGACGTGTCTTTACGTAGTATTTTATTTCTGTGATTATTTTTTTCATCATTCAAATCACAATTCATATAATAAAGTTAAAAGATCTAATTAATAGATTAATGATTGATGATGATGAACGACAGCAATTATGATTATTTGCATGTCAATGTCGTATAATGATACATCAATATCGTGTTTAAATGGTCAAATAATATTTTAACTAATATCAATGGTAATATTTGTTTCCTAAGAAAATTATTTATAGACTGAGAACAACACACACAAAAGAATCAGAATAGCTAAAAAGAACTTTCAACGAGAATAATTTTAAAAGATTTTTCTTTCGTCACGTTGTTTTAAGTAATCATTTTGTTCTTGCGTAAAATTTTACATTTTTTCATAATCTTTTATCAAAAAGATGTAAAAAATAGGAGTATTGTAAAAAGAATTAAAGGAAGTCTTTGTATTGTATTGTAATTGCATTTCTATCTAAATGGGCCGCTATGACATACATGTGTATAAATACGTCATTTTTTGAAATTAATATTCGATAATTAAATCTACTTGGAAATATCCCAACAGTTTTAATAAAACATGAAAATTTTTTCTCTAAATCTTTTAAATCCAAATTTTAAATGTAAGATATCAATAATTTCTTATTTTTACATATGATAAACAAATAGTGTTATCGTCTATTTCAGAAATATAAAAAGTTAAAGGAAAAGAAATAAAATAGATTATCGAAGTAAATTTAATTATCATACTAGTGTGTAAAAGTATGAGCAAATCTCAAAGTTACAATTAATGTCTTGCTGGAGTAAAGATTTAACACATATACATTATTCCTCTGCTACATGTACACTTAATGTTCAATTAAGCATAAATCACTTTGTGAAATCACAGTGGTAAATATGATAAGTTCACATGCAATACATTTATACTTTATGTAAAGCGGCTAAAACTAATTTTCTGAAAGCATACCAATTCATATTTTGCGCTAGTCTCACATATTTTACGTTCCCAATGTAAATTATGTTTTTATATGTATAAGTTACATGTAACAGGGTTACATATGAATTGTCTATTTCCAAAATTAACTATCTCCAATACATCTATATGGAAACTTTCAGAGAAAATGTGGAAACATGTGTAAACGAAACAAAATATTCAAAATATTTTTATTATACTCATGTCCACATGTAATTTATTGATTTGAATATTACATTAACGGCAAATTCGTGTTAATCTTGAATTGGAAGATAGTGTCTTTCAGATATACATGATTTACATCCTGTTAATCCGCGTTAATATCTTTTAGCTGCTTGTGATTCTTTTTCCCAACATTATATATCGAAAATACATACATATTCTAAGTGTGAAGTAATAAAAAATAAAAATGCTTATTGAAATGTTAAAGTACGTATGTTATGTTGTAAATGCATAAAATATTACATAAGAGTAGGAAATTCACAGAAAGCAAAGAACAAACTTATCACATTTCATACAATTTATCATGTTTTTACGTTTAATCATAAGAAATATCTTATCAAAATATTTGCTTTAGATACTGTTTGTCAATGCATTTCAAAAATTTGAGCAAAAAATGAAATTCGCTTTCTAAGATCTAATCAAATCACAATCTTCTTCACGGAATAAAATATTTTATAAATCAGCTCTGTTATATAATTATTTGTTTAAATGTAAATTTATCAATATGATGAAAGGTTTTATTATTAAATTAAAAATTAATCAATCAATATACAAACAATATTATATATATATTAATATTATATTAATATTATATTATAAATATATATATATATATATATATATATATATTAATATTATATTAATATTATATTATAAATATATTATTTTGATATTTCGCGTAATTTCAATTCCGCCCAAATTATAATGACAAACAGAATTGTCAAATATTAATAGTGTGTTACTAATATTTTAATCTTTTTCAGGCCGGAAGACATTCAATATTAACATATTAACACAACTACACAAGTGCTACATTTTGTAGTAAGATAATAACATTCATTAAGGAACATACATTCAAATATCATTTCTAAGAAATGATTCTATAATATCGCATTGCTTTTATATAATATTATATAATGTGCAATTATTTAAAAAATGTTAATATATCAAATTTTTCTCGATTGCATAATTTATTATTATCTTATTACAAAGCAGAATTGTTGAAAAAAACGAAACCTATCTTTAGTCAATTAAAAATAAAAATACACCAAAAAATGCATTTTAAAATTGAGATTTCAAAAACAAGATTAGATTCTAACTTGAATAAATATACAATAGTTAGTATATATAGAATGTTGGGAGAACACTATTGGCTTGAATTTATAAATGGTAAGATTAAAAGACAGAAAAATGGAAAGAGAGAGAAAGAGATTTCTCGTAAAATTTCGGCAATTTGTTTCTGAGCTGGCTTATGCAGTCCGTTGGATGATGTGAATTCCGCTATCTGTATGCACAGGCGATGACAACTCGCCAACCTTCAACGCAAATGCCGCCTGCTCGAAGGGTTTCTGCATCGCGCCCCGACTGAAAGGTCCGAGGTCACCGCCGCGCTTTGCTGAACTGCAATCGCTATACTTGGAGGCAAGTTCGGCGAACGTTGCTTTGCCCGATGCGATTTGTTCTCTATAAGCTGTTAACAAGATATTCTTTATGATATATCGCAATAGTGATGAAAAGAGCCTAATTTCTGGACTGTTTTCTTGCGTATATTATAAACATGGACAGTGACGCATGGCTTAGTACCTAAAGCGATTGACTTACAAATAGAAGAATAGCAGGTTCAAATCTTGTCATCGCCCCTTTACGAGACATCATCTTGTAATTTTTGAGAATTTCATATGGTAACTTACATTGTGGTGCTTAATTTTTATAATCGATTGCACGAAAAGTAACCATAGATCAGATTATTTCTCGATCATAAGAAAAATAAATAAAAAATATTATAAATTTTAAATGAAAAAATATTTCACTTCAGAAAAAAAATCTGTAAATTAAGTCTAAATACAATAATAAAAAATTTAAAAACAAGATTGGTCCTTGAAAACCAGACAAAAGGTTTATAATTCATTTCTATAAAAATTAATTATAACGAAGCTATTTTAGAAGCTTTGGTTTATTAAAAAGTCATGGTATAATGAAGCAAACAATAAATATAGCAACAATACAATAAAAATATTCTATATGAATATTTATCAAATAAAGAAGCTATAGGCTTACATTTAACCAGCTCGAGAGCTTCTTCTTTTGACCTGGTAATTTTCTCTTCTCGCCAAGAAGAAGGTCGTCGAGAACCTGAATGTTTTACGAGTAGATGAGAGCATTGCACTTCTTCAGGTCCATCTGCTTTGCCATTACCAGATGGATCTGCAGGTTTATCTGGCCTATCCCATTGACTTTCCTTGGTATAAGTATTTAAATAATAATGTTGACCTGTAACAATTTCAAAAACTTAAAACAAAAACAAAAACCTAAATCTATATCTTATTTACTATTGCTGTATTTTTTTTCATATAAGACAAAATTAAAAATGAATATTTTCAACTTATTGAATATATTATGATTATTTAAAAAAAAATTGGAAACAAAATAAAACAATAATAATAAAACAAATTAAAGGTGTTTGCAATTCTCAAAGAAATAAATTTGGAGTAGAAAATATATTCAGATTGGTCTAGGTTTGCATTTTTTTTCAATGAACGAAATAATAAAAACAGTTATATATCAATTTTTTAAAAAAGTTTACAAAGAATTTAATGAGACAATTCAAGCTCTCTATTTCATGAGCTCGCTGATATAATATAAATATTTACAAATCGACAATGTATAGCAAAATGATCGATTGATAAATATATTCGAAACTTTCTGATAGAGTCTCAAAATGTAAGCGCTCGTCCCTAAGCAGCCATACCCGGCGCATCGCTCCGCCGATCTCTCGTCTTTTAAAAATTCTCATTGATTGGGATAGAGCCGCGATTCTCCGGAAACTCCGGAGAAGTATTCGGAGCATCTATTTTGACCGCTTGAATTGCTCGCATCGGTAAAACGTCGGCGAAATATCACATACGCGCCGGTCGAGACTCGGCGGTCTCGCACCGGCGAAATCGAAGCGTGTCCGCGGCTACGCCGCCGCTCCGGGATGAGATTCCCGATGGAATCGCGATGCCGCCGTTCGCGGCGCGATCACGGAGGACCATCCACGACGTACCGGTCGATCTGCTGAGCCGTTTCTCCCAACCCGCTGGTAGCTCCTCGTCCGCCATTGTTGTTGGAGTATTTTCGGAATATTTTTCTCTGCCTCTCTTCTCTTCTCCGGCACTGGTACGTCAAACCCACGTCAAACGCCGCACGCCGCCATCGCACTGAACGTCGCAGCGAGTGCCACCGACCGCTGCGGCTTGTCAACCCGACGACTCGGAGTCACTAGGGAGTGGCTGGTGATTTTTCACCGCGAGGTCAGCGCCTGCGTCGAACGAAGCGACCGAGGGGGGCGAACGTCACGTTGGTTCCGCAGTGTCAAACGTACGACGTGAGAGGTTATATCTGGATTTTATGTGACAAAATTTTGCTTCTACGTATGAAATATCTATGCACTCTGCAGACGTGCGGGAAATCTTGATATCATGACAGTCAGGACGCTTTTACGCCTAGGCGATGCGACAAATAGATGGTGCGATGGGTTCTCAGCATTTACCATAGGATTCGCTATTCTTTGAATTCCTTCACTTTTTTTCTCGCCCTGTAAAAATGGAGATAAATATCAAGATTTTCTTCGTGCTAAGATGTTCCGAGGTTTTCTTAAAGATCGATTGCTAGATTATAATAAAACGTTATCTTTTCACTACATTTGCTCATTGCCTTTTCTATCTATTTCTATTAATACAGATTGATTTAAATCCCAATTCAACTCTTTTTATGCCTTTTCAATTCTAGGAATTAGAAAAAAATAAAGAATAAATTAACTCAAAAATCAATGTATATCGTAAAATCAATGTATATCGATGGAAGTTGATTGGAAGTTAATATTGACATATCGATACTTTAAGAGATAAACTTACATTATGTAAATTATTTATTTTTTATGTAATTTATAATTATAAGAAATCTTTTAAATGTCTATCTTTTGCTGTAATGAATTACCACTGATCACTGATATTAAATAATTGTTTTATTAATGGCAAGTGCCATTGATTTATAATTCATTAATGATGTCACTTATATTTAAAGTTGGCAAAATAACTAGAGATGTAGTTTTACGAAAATGATTAATATATATATTTATAAGAAGACTTATAATATTAGTAAAACATTAGAAGTTAAATCATAATATATTTTTGTTTATATAATTTTTCTTTTTTGTTTTATGTCTCAATTATCTCCTGAAGTAGGAACATGCAATTAAAAATTGCATCTCATGTGATTACATTATGCCATATAAAATTCAATGTATTTGTAAAATTTTAGTGTTTTTACAACTGTACAACACTGTAGACCTAAAGTACAAGTGCTACAGTATAGACAAATAAGAAGCTCAAAGAGGTCTCCTTCGCTCTCCTTCAAGTCACAGTCTCCTTTTCCCAATGTTCATATTGAAACTGGAACTATACAACCTACAAGATTATGGAAACATCTTGGTTTCACCATTATGGTAAAGTTTTTTTTCTCTTTTAAAATTTTTAACAGAATGCACTGTTTTATTTATATGTAACAAAATAAATTAAGGAAGTAATAACAAAATAAGAAGTAACATTAATTTTCCTTCTTTCATATTTTCTTTACATTAAAATAATTGTCAATGGTATTAGAAGTAGAATTCATTATAATACTTGTAAATCTTACAGATTTGCGCATGTACTTTTTATTGTTAGAATACTTTCAAGTGAATAGACTTTGCATTTTTTTATTTTTATTTTAGTTCAGTGGAGCCTCCATAGTAGGTGCTGCAATTTGGGAATACGAACGTATCAGAAGTCAGACGTATAAAATAATTCATCGTTATAGACAGTTTCGAGTTAACGTATGTATTGTTTAGAAAAATGTCCAATTGATACTTTAGTGTATACAATAATGGTATCGGTTAGCGAACAGGATGGAGGAACGAGATGGAAATATGGTGGCGAAACTTGACCGAGGGACAGAAGATTTTTGTGCCTATATGTTTTATAAATGCGGTTATATTCTTAGCTTGGCGCGTGCCATCACTACAAAAGACAATGGTGCGTTACTTTTGCGCCAATCCAGCTTCCAGTAAGTGATGCCTCTTTTGAATAAATGATGCAAAATCAACTCGAGTAGTTCTTTTTATTTTTGAGTTATCATTAATGTTAATTTGAATAATTTTCATATAAGGTGCGTCATGTTTGTCCATGGTACTCTCCACATTTTCACATTACTCCATATTCCATCTGGCTGCAAATATGTATGTGTTACATAGCTTCAGCACGATAGCTGTGACGGCACTGGGGAGGGAACAATTTTTGGCCCTGTATTTATCGAGTGGAGTGATTTCCAGTTTTACTAGCCACTTATATAAAACAATGTTTGGCGTACCAGGCCTTTCTCTCGGAGCGGTAAGCAGCTTTGTTTTTAAAAAACGAGTAACTTTACGAGTACTTTATACATGCATATCTTGCTTGTATATCTTGCATAATTCGAAAACTCGGTTATCTTTTAAAATACATGACAGTTTCACATTTTTACTATGTTGCTATTTTCTATTTTTATTTTAGTCTGGTGCAATTATGGGTGTTCTTGGATTTGTCTGCACACAATATCCTGATATACGATTAAATATCATTTTCCTTCCTATGTTTACATTTACAGCGGGTATGGTAAGTATCCATATCTTATATATAAATTTTAATAACATCTGTAATAATAATATTATCACAAAATGCGTTATTAGATATTTTACTGTGACATAATAGTAAATATATTTTTATTCAGGCCATAAAAGGAATAATGACCTTAGATGCTGTTGGGTGTATCTTAGGATGGAAATATTTTGATCATGCTGCGCATTTGGGTGGCGCATTGTTCGGAATGTGAGTTGTCTTTCTGTCACTCGTATAATTTAAAATGTGTTTCTTGTATGAAATGTATGATTTGCAATTTTATTTTAACGAATTTAAGAGATAAGACATTATTTTATAAATTTATGCACGATAATTTTTCTGATAAAATATATAATTTCATTCAAGAGTGATGTGAGTCACATCATAACTTTTTTTTCTGGAAATTACAGATTCTGGCAAGCATGGGGTAATGCTAATATTTGGCAAAAGCGGGAACCTCTTTTGACTATTTGGCACGAATTTCGAGAACGACGAAAATCGCAATAATATTTTTCTTATTTTAAATCTAGATATCAATTTATTATATTGTTCATTGTATATTCTGTATACTAATTGTAAAGAATTCAAGATCATCGTGCAAACAGATTTACTAAAAAATTTAGATATACATTATATATTTCTGTTATTTGTATTCCATTTCTGATGAAATCATTATTCTTTGAAACAAAAATATTAAAAAAAATATGTAGAAATTATATAAATTACACAAGATTAAAAATGTTTAGCATATTTTTTTAAATTTATTTCAATATTTCCATTGAAAACATAATAGATTTTGTAAAAACTATATGTAAATTACGATATCAAAATCCCAAAGTTTTTAACAATGAATCAATAATCTCAGACTTAACTTTTAAGATATTTCATATGATGCTTGAAGTGATCTTCAATAAATGTAGCTATAAAGTAGTAACTGTGATCATAACCATCTTGAAATCTAAGAGTAAGCGCAATGCCATTATCTTTCGCAGCATTTAATAAATTCTCTGGTAATAATTGATCTTGCTTTAGGAATTGATCCTCCTTACCCTATAAATATACAAATTTTCATGATTATTTTATTGTATTTTTATGAGTCAATTAAAAGATTAAAAAGATCAAATGCACTAAAATAAATGTGAATGTGCGTTACAGATATAATTTAAAAAAAAATTGAAACCTGATCGATTAAAATGTCCAAAGGTGGGCCATTGTATTTCTTGGCTAGCTCTGTAGCATCCCATTCCTTCCATTCGGCATTATCCTCTGAACCTCCCAAATACCCTGAGAAGGCCTTCTTTCCCCATGGGCACAAAATTGGATTACATATGGGTGCAAAAGCCGAGACTGTCTTAAATTGCCCAGGATTTTTAAAAGCGCAAATTAGAGCACCGTGTCCTCCCATACTAAAAAAAAAGAAAAAAAGATTAAAAAAAATTTTAAAGACTATTTGAAGATATGGCAAAAAATTTATTTTTTTTTATACCTATGGCCCATTATGGATTGCCTAGATGGCAATGTTGGAAATTCTTTATTGATCATATTTGACAATTCTTTGATAATATAGCTATACATTCTGTAATTCTTTTTCCATGGTTCGCATGTTGCGTCTACATAAAATCCTGCTCCAGTACCAAAATCATAACTGTCATCTTCTCCAGGAATATTTAATCCTCTTGGGCTAGTATCAGGTATGACAAGAAGTACGCCGTAATTTGCAGCATGTCTCTGAGCCCCAGCTTTCTCACTAAAATTAGCCTCGGTACAAGTAAGACCAGATAACCAGTAGATAACTGGTACTGGCTCTTTTTCGGCTTGAGATGGTATGTAGACAGCAAATCTCATCTTGCATCCCAATTCCGTACTATTGCAATAATAATAGTAGTATTATTTACAATGTGTACGTATATGCGAAGCATTTTAAAGCAAATGCAGGAATAAATCGTTAGAGATTGTTAATAATTGCTTTTTCATATAAATAAATATATTTTCAAAAAACAGAATAGATGACATTTATACTTTCTATATCTACCTGTTGTGTGTATACACCTTTTGCCATCCTCCGAAAATTTTATTACTTTGAACTTCCGTTAACTCAGACATCTGGAAATTATTATTGAGTTCTCGATGAGCGACATTTCAATCAATTGCGCGAATATTTTATTTATCATGTTTGGATAGAAAGGTTAGAATCAGTTAGGATTAGGTTAGAAAAGAAATAGCTAACTAGTAAATTGCTCGGCTTTATAACGAATATAAACGTAATTAATATTTTTATATAATGTAATATTTTTAAAAATTTGACATACAGCATGTATGATGTGGTTGAAGATATAACATCTAGAAAGATATTTATGTAAGCGCATTAGAGAGCAACAAATTTATTTATACGAAAATTCTGTTTTATGAATACAGTTTTAATTTTTTTAAAAGCTTCACTTACTTTTTATTTATTTCCAAAATACGATGATATTTGCGACTCCAATGAAATGCTTGCAGACTCACACAATTCTACGTTATTCTTAGTAAAGAAAAATGTACAGTACTCCGAGTTGATCCTCGAGAACTTTGTGTGTACGTGCCTTTATACAAATATATTTGCGATAATACATATTTACTTGTTATGATAATCATACATTATCGCACATGTCGATTTTTTTTATTATATATAGATGGAATAAAAAAAGATTATGCTATGAATTACATAAATCAAAATAAATGAAATCCGCTAATTGGCTAATCCTAATCATTACATCATCAGAATTATCATCACGATTTTTTCCGTAATTGTTTTTCCTGTGTGGATTGTTTCGATAAAGTGAGGGATTCTCTCGACGCAGGGTTGCGCTTTGCAGTTTTTCTTGGCGCGTTATTTGCTGCTAAAATTAAATGTTTTATACGTTTTATTACGAATTATTATTAAAAATATTATTAAAAAATATTTAAAAAATTTAGTTATTATTATTAGTATTTTTAAAAAAATGACGTCATCTTAAAAAGATCAATTATTATAAATAAATCAAGAAAAATTCTGCTTTCTTTTTCTAATTATGACGACAATCTGAAGATCTAAAGAAGAACACATATAATGTGTTCTTTAAATTTTTCTAGATTTATTTCCAATAATTAATATTCCAATAATTTTCAATCAAGTTTTGCACGTACATTCGAATTGCGGCTCTATCTTAATTACGCTGCCGATACTTTCTCTCGATGATGTGAAAGCGCTCATGCGACTTGTGCTCTTCAAAGGTTGGTCTATCGAGCCTGCAGAATTGCCGCCGGGACTGATAGGCGATCTGACCGATGGTAGGAAAGACGGTAATTCAATGTTTTTGGCCAATAGCAACTTCTTAACATACGCTTCAGCTTCCACATGACGAATCGTGAATTCCGCGATATCTTGAAGAACCAGTGCGTTCTGCTCTTGGAGCTCTCGCAATTCCACTTCTCTCTGGAAAATCGGATCTCGAGATAAAAATAGTCAAAGGATACGACTTAACTTATATTCTTATTTATTGTTTACCTGTTGCAGGATTACAATATCATCTCTTTTAGAAATATATAAATTTTGTATATCCTTTTGCACCTTACGAAGGCTCTTGTCGGCCCTGCTTATCTTCTCTTCCTGCTCTGTTGTCTGCTTCTCGATACCCGATAAATAACGCTGTTTGTTTTCCTTCTCTTCCTTTGCTTTCTCAATATCATCCAACAATTGAGTATAATCATCTTGTGCTTTCTGACCGACAAAATTAGAGGCAATTTAAAAATATTTTCGCACAAAGTAATATTTAATATATACATTAGTCATATTTGCGCTTCCTAGAAGCTTCGTTCACGCTTCATCAGTCTCCCTTTATACTAAAAATATTTATTTTTCAATTTTTATTTTTCAATATTTATTTTTCAATTCTTTTGTCAGGAAATAGAGACGACTCCTCTATGGAAATACCTGTAGTTTATCGAACAATTCTTGCAGCTGCGTTTCCTTCTGCAGCAGCTTCTGCCGCGCGTCGTGCATCTGTTCATCGAGTTGCCTTTGTTCCGTCCATTCAGGCCCGTCCTGATCAATCGCGCTCATGCTGTCCCTGTATTTGTCATTACATACGTTCACCACTCGCAGCGTGTTCTCCATACTGCGTATCTCCTGCTCGGTTCGTCTGATAGCCTCGTCGAGCTTGTCGCCTTGCTCTTGAAGCATATACCGCTCTTGAGCATTTTGTATCTTCAAATACGCGGTGCTCATCGGTGCGCCATCCGGAGTGGCGCCAAGCGTCGCGACGCCGCCGTCATACCGCGCCTGCAATTGCCGTATCCTGCTCTTCCTCTCGGTGATAGCGACGCGCAGCTCGGAACATTCGCTACTTGCGATCCTCTTCTGCACGGCGAGCGCCTCTTTCTGCGCCGCGATCTCTGCCGCGCGTTCCTTAAGCGCCTGTAAATAACAATGAATGAAGTGGAAGTGTGAATAAATGACTTAACCATTCAACTTATATTGTTGCATCGAGTACAATCGGATTCATACAGCAGATCCTTCCTTCGTTATTAAATTAATATTCTCATTTCCTGGAAATTAATCGAGGCAATCAGAAAAAATGACTCACAGCTTCGAGATGAAGACGATACTTTTCCAGATCGTAGACCTTGTCGCTCACGTTTGACGTCATTCGTTCGAGTTGTGACACCCGGAGGCGCATTATACTTTCTTCCACCTGTCGCTCCTCGCTTCGGGACTGAGCGATTTTCAATCGCTTCTCGCCTCCGTCTAACAGCAATAGTAAGTCCTGCTTTTTGCTCCGTAGCCGTTCGAGTTCGTCATTTTCGCTCGACAAGGAATTAGAGACTTTTCTCATATCGTGCTGCGGAGGAAAAAATTTTTATTAAATCTGACTAAGTTCCCTTATACAAATTTTTCAGTCAATTTTATTGTTCTTTCGTAATCTCAGATTAATGAAATTCTTCTCGCGGAAAATGTCCGCACTGCGGAAAATGTAAGATATAATAGAACTTACTTCTAAACTGACAATCTGATTTTGCAGCAGTTTAGACGTGGCTGTTTTCTCTTTCAGTACAGTCTGCAGTTCCTCGATTCTCGCTTGCTTCTTCTCGATTTCACTCTTGTCACGATCGTATCCTCTAATCCGTTCGAGTTTCATCTCACACTTTTGCAAATTGAAGTCCACATGATAAAGAGTTTCCTTCTTCTCCCCCAAAAGTTTCTTCTCTTTCGCGAGCAAAGTGTTGAGCAGACCAACTTTCTTATGTTCGCCCTGCGTTTCCATCTGCAAGGTCCTTCTTTCGTTTTCCAATTCTACAACCCTCATCGTCGTACGTAAAATCGCGGCTTGCAACCGATTCACTTCCTTAATGATCGCGGATTTCCGTTTCTCGTCGTGCTGAAATCAATCGTAATAAGTTATAGGTTTTCTTAAAATTCTTTTCATTACATTAAAATTGATTTTTTTTTTTTTTTATTAATAATTATCCAATTATAAGGAAATCGAATCTTTCTAACAAATATATACCTCGATCATCTTCTCTAAACGTTTCGTTCTCTCCGCAACGTTTAACTTGTGACTTTCGATCTCCTCCAAAGTCAACATTAACTCATTGATTCGCTTCTTGCAATTATCCATCTTTATACGTTTATTTTCGATCTCGATTTTTTTGTTCTTCGTATTAGCTCGAATTTGCTGTATACGGCGTGCCAGATCGCCCACTAACTTCTTCTGGGTATAAAGCTGCCTCGACAATTATTGTCAAATGTAGATAATCGTACAGATAAAATTATACAGAATGTCAATCAAAGCAGCAATTATCTTTAAATTAGCACGCAAACAATTTAACAAAATTAATTATTTATTATTTTATAAAAAAAAAAATATGTGATATAAATTTTTTTATCCGTTGTCTTCACCTCGATATCGTACATGTCGATTGTCTCTGTAATTTTGCGCTGTTTCTCTCGAACTGCCTCAAGTTCCCTCTCCGATACTTTAATCGATTCCTCCAGCTGTTTGTTGTTTACAATTTGATCCTTCAGAAATTGCTCTACTTCGTCGAGATTATTCTTCCTTTCTCTACTGATCTCTCGCAATGTTTCGATTTCCTGCAATGATATGATACATTGTATCTTGTACTACTCTCGTACTACGGAATTAGAGAAAGATGTCGTTTCATACTCTCAGACTATTTTGTATATCGTTATCCCTCTGACGCAGAACGTTAACACTTTGCGTCCATTGATTTATCATCTGTCTGCGTTCTTTCAATGCCTCTGCGTATAATTTCGCTGTACGGTCCAGAACGATCTCCATCTCTTGCACCTCACCGACAGTTTTGATTATAGCTTGACGATAAGTTTCGAGTTCTACGCTGAGTTTCTGTCGTTTTGTCTCCAATTCCTAAAGGTCAAATTGTACTCTCATTATACATCATGATAAATTAGGATTTATCCTATAATTTTCGGAAAAGATTTTCATCTCTTTCTACGATTACCAACTTTATAATATTTTCAACCTATAAATATGTAACATCATTCAGTATTATATTGTGCAAACATTTGAGAAGAAGCTGAAATGATAAATTTAAATCCTATAACTTTTCAAAACAAATATACGAATCAATATAGAATGAATGAATAATCTAAATTAACAGTCATATAAGTATTTAAGAAAAATCCCCGATTGAACTACTTCTCTTTCATATTTCTGATTGACTCTCAATATTATATCCTCCTTTCATATACGACGAATATACGACGAAATTTCAAAGTTGTACACCTTGTACTTTTGCGTATCCTGCTTCATGTAATCCTCTATCAGCTGATTGTCCTTCTCTTTCCGCGCAAGCATCTTCTCCCACTTGTGTAAACTGTCCTCATCAAACTGGACCATTTGCTTCGCTTCAGCCAGCTTCTTCGTCATTCTGAGCAGATCCTTCTCTATGCCTGATATCCTGCGATTCACGTTCGCCCATTCCTTCTCGAATTCACGCGCCTCTTGGCGCAACGACGACTCGGTGTTGCCGCTCAATCGATACAGGTGATCCTCTGTCTCCAGCTGGACCGAATGCTCAGAGAGCAGCTTCCGATTGAACTCATTCCGTATGGCCAAATCACCGGCATGCTTCCTGATCATCTTCAGCCGGTCTTCAAGACTCTCTAACTTCACATTTAATGAAACTTTGCGCTTTGTCTTTCTTGCAACCTGTACAAATATCAAGAATGTTCAGAATTGCTTTTCAATCAATTCTTTTTTCATTTCAATTAAATTTATTCTGTAATTTAATTCATTTTTTTAGTGCATTTTTTATTTGTACAATGATAATTACATATAATATTCCGGATTAATTATTACTTAATGATAGATTGATAATTATTTTTTGCCATAATAATATGAAAATATTATATTTGATAAATGATATGAGAAATGCAATTTGAAAAATCATGAAAGATCTTATTCCTATACTGAAACATTTAAATATGATAAAAATAATTCCTTTTTTCTTTTATTTAATAATTATCAAAATCGTCTTCAGACGAAATTTTTACTTTTTAATAAAAAACGATAATTTATTATTATTTCGCGATTATATTTAACTCTTATCAGCGCAACTGCGATTTCTTATTGCTAACAAATGGAGAAACATTTTTTTTTTGTCAAATTGTTCTATTTATTGCCAAAATCATCTAAAGTATTATTTACATATTTTTCAAAGAAGAAATGTTTTCGTCACAACTTTTCGAATGTGTCAAGAAAAGAAATATGTCCACTTCTATCACTGTAAATTAACTTTAACTCTTGGCTTAACTTTTTATCTTTTTTTAAAAAAGAAAAAAATTTTAGAAAAAGATAAAGTAAGATTAAAGTAAGATTAAAATTGGAAGAATCAGGCATTAATTGAACATTGGAAGAATCAGGCATTAATTGAATCGAATCTTTATGAAATTTTTATGCGCGGTGTTTTTACTTCTTCCTCCAGACGTTTATTCTCTTCGTTAGCTACGGGAATTCGGAAGCCATCCTGCCATCCTAGCTGGCTCAGTATCACGTCTATGTTACTCGTCGCCATGTGTCAAGATCAGTCAAGATACTGCTAATCGTTCGTGACAATTTGTGACAGCTTGTCGAAATCCAGGAGGGACCCTCGAAACGCTCCGGCGTTTATATTTGGTCGCTATAGTAACCCATGACACATGCGCAAAAACCCAATTCATTTGAATTTGAAATTCGGTCGGAGTTGAAGGCCGACGTGTGCCAATAGATCTTTCTTTATGACTGCCTGAGAATATATAATACACTCGTTGTACTTGAAATAAAATAAATAACTATTTTTGAAACTTGATAAAAAGAAAGATAGAAAGTTTCAATGCAGCGATAAAGAACAGGCTTATAAACGCGGTCCACTTGATGCCGCAAGTATTTCAAAGTTTTCGATAATCGCTAGTTTTTAGGGTGTCGAGACAACCGAGAACACTATCATGTGACTTTACGCGAGATGCGAGCATCCGAAATTATCGGATCTCAGTAACGGCTAAACCGATCAAATTCTAAGTAGGCTTGATCGATAGCTTGAGTTCGACTTGCATAATAAAAGTATTTTTATACTGACACACTAATTCTTTTATTGGTTCCACCTTTCTTCTCTCTTTCTCTAATTTAGAAAGAAATGCATAAATTATATTATATTTTTACTATTATATTGTTCATTAGTATCGACTTTTATATCTATATAAACATATATTTCGTAACGTGTTGTGCTTCGAATTATAAATTATTCTAAGTAATTGATCGAGTATTCTTGCAATCATAATTCGTGCACTTTAAAATGTTTCTAGATTATTACTAATGTTCCTTTCGAGGAACATAAGCGCATATTTATCATTATTAATCTTATCGACCCAGCGGACTGATATGTCAGAGTCACTGTAGGATCTAATGAATCATTGACAGACAGAGTACAATATGTTTCGTGTAAAATTGATTAATAATGTATCTCTAATTACAGTCTCTGCTCCTTATGTCACGATTCTGATTGACTGATTTTTAATAAATACGCATAACGAGAGTAAGAAAGTAGAAAGCGAAAGAATGAGCGAGATAGTATGCTTGTTGCTCTTTTTCCACGCGTCCGATTGGCGATCAACGATGTGTTGAGTTTCGCGGCGAGTTGAGTTTGATGGTTGGTGATAATTTATTTTGGAGTGTAAGCGACTGATGTTTGTGCGCCATAATCTGTTATTTTGCAAGTATTTTTTTTTTTAAATTAAAACTACTATCACATGGGTTAGAATAAAATTATATGTATTTTACTCGAGCATTGATTTTACATATTTTATAATAAGCACTTCGAGTATGTATCGATAAAGCGATGCTTATCGATCAACGTAGGCCGAAATAAATCAAAGTGTAAATGAATCAAGTATTGGAATTGCTTTCAGCGAGGAAGTTTATCAGTATCAGATAGCTAGTTATATGTTATGCCTCGTGCGCGATCGGTCTCTACATTGATTCGCGTGAGAAACTTCTCGAAGACGGCATTACTTAATGACTTTTTAAAACTTCGCTCGCGGGCTACGAGCCTGCGAAATTATTATTGTTTATGAAACTTTTAGAAACTCACTCTCCTTGGAGATGCGCGGGAAGTTGATGCACAATAGATTCCTCTGTGCCAACATGCGTTGGAAACCAATTTTCGAATTAACGCTCCTGGGCGCCTGGCATTTTCTATTGTTTCATGAGCTGAAGTCATAAGTAAACGATTGCAAATATATCCTTTATAAAAAGAGGAGATGTCAAGTCGATTACTCGCATTTCTCGAAGTTTATTGTTGCCGCTTTTCCGCGATGCTGATTGGTTCTTTTGCTGCGCTAATTTCGTGAGTTACTGTCAATTTGCAAATGACAATTTGATAAAAGACGGGCGAGGTTAGTAGCGAATGAAACTTTGAATCGAAACCTTTTGAACAAGGACAAAGATAAGAAACAAGAATGAATGAGTTTCTATTTTTCAGCGATGATACGTTATCGCTATCATCAACGAATAATATAAAAATATATAATATGAAAAGCTTAGTGGCGCGCGCCTGTTATGTTCTAGTAATTAAAAATATATACATGTATCTAAATTTGTTTTTTAAACTTTTTTATAAAAATTGCATAACTGTCCTTTTAAAATGTTATTTCAAAACAAAAACATACGCGGGGAATGCGAAACACGCGGGATAACAAATAACAACAATCTGCAAATGTGAGGACAGATCCAGCTAATCTCGGAAATGTTATTGTTTGCGTTTTTTTTTCAGGCAGAATCCGATGTATATGATGAAAGGGGCTTATTAGTATGCTGGATAAGCGGCGGCTACATGCCTCCGGTACGTCGCCATGCACCCTCATCTTCGTGATCGTTTTGGCACTAACTGGATGCTTCTCGTTTTGGATTCACATCGATGGTTCAGGATCGTCGATCCCGTACTCCAGCGGCGGTGTGGCCGCGCCAGGATATGTCCTTATATTTCCCGGAAACGTCACACCCTCGACGCAGCCCTACTCGATAAACGAACTTCCGTCCGATGATAAATCCACTGATCAACATCACGGATTTCAGGTTTATCATGAACCACAATCCCTGCAATTGTACGCAGCCGTTGCTGCTAATGCTGGTTCACTCGGTGTCAGGGAATTTCCTGAGGAGGCACATGGTGCGGGAGACCTGGGGTCAACAAACGCCAGACGTGACTTTATTGTTTCTCGTGGGATATTCGGAGAAATATCAATCCAGGCTCGAGGAGGAGAACAGGAAATATCAAAACTTAATACAGGGAAACTTTCTTGATGCCTACAGAAACATGACCTACAAGCACGTTATGGGATTAAAGTGGGCTACTTATTATTGTCCAAGTAAGAAAAGATTGATAATCTGATGCCCATCGATTGCACAAAAAATAATTTTATTATTTTTAAATAATGATTTTTTTTATTTTTATATTGCATCTCAGAAATCGCAGAATAACATTAATTAGAGTTAAATATTGACTCGATCGTGCATTATTTGCAGCCTTCAGAAAAAAAATATATAATTTTTATAGGCAGATTCTCATTTCTATTTTTCTAATCTTCAATTTTTTTCTTTTTCAATCTTTATAATCTTATATCTTAATGTTATATAATAGTATAATTGTAGATATTAAACTTTGACATTGTTCTCGTATTTCAGATGCCAAATATATTCTTAAATTAGACGATGACGTTTTTGTTCATTTACCGGCCATGATTGTTCATTTACTGGACTTTCTGATGCGTGACCTCTCGCCGTGGGGTGCAAGTCTGATTCTCTATGATCTTATGTCGGCTTTCGCAGTGAAGAGATTCTGGCGCTCAAAGTGGCGCGTCTTTCCTCAGGAGTATCCCGGTAGACTTTATCCCGCGTATTGTGCCGGATGGGCGATCCTATACTCTCCCGATAGTGTATTTATATTGTATCGTGAAGCTCAGAAGGAGCCGTACTTCTGGATCGACGACGTTCACATTACCGGGACACTGGCTAGGAAAGTAAACTTAACGCAAACCTCATTACACTCTTGGGTGCTTACGACCGAGAGCATGCGGGACCTGCTGTCGAACCCGAGCGCCCGGCGGGATTTTCTGTTCGGGCCTCCGGAGATAACGGAGAGCGAAATACGAGCCTTACATAGTCTGATTACTAAATCACGGCCTAGCAACGAAAACCTATTGTATAATTAAACTAATTCTAATAGAACAATTTCGTTATACTCGCTCGCCGTGACGCGAGGACGGGAGAAAAGAAGTGAGATACGATAGCGAGTGTTCTTATATACTTTTCGCGTATCTTAATTTTATATACATTGGTATGCCCTGTACAATAATTCAACGTAAGTGTTCGATTATTTGCACAATGTACAAACGCCGTGTTATGTATGATACGAACGTAATAGTGCGTTATATGATGACGCGCGCGCGTGCGCGCGTGTGTGTGTATGTGTGTGTGTGTGTATGTGCCATACAGATCCAGCAAACACATATGCATGTGTAACAAAATATTACGAAATTTGCAATTGTCTTATTTAAACAAGGAAACGGGTATAATTTTGATGAGAATTCAATTTTTTGTAATAAATACCAAGAGACCATAATCTCGCGCCAAGTCACGCCCAGCAAACAGTGAGGACTAACGTATATTTGTATGCGGTCTAGTTTAAAATATTTTAAATTATCTATGACTAATGCCTGGACCGAACGAATTCCTAATATTTGGAAAAGACGCTTACGTCGATTGTCGCATATATTTACACTGTCACGGACAACACATAGGGATCAATATCATGCGTTTATAGCATCAGAATGTGAACTCAGTATCAGTAATGATACCGAATTCTTCTCTATTAATATTTATTATTTATATTAAAAAAATAATACTCAGATATATAGTGTAGGTTCAACTGAGTTACATTTATATACTAGATTAAAGATTAAGGGCTCTTTTCTCTATTCGAGACTGTCAATGTATAATCAGGGCTTGTAATCGAATAATGTTTTAAATTAATTTCGAGAGTATTTATAATTTTTAGATTTATTGAATTTTCAATTTTATATATATTATATTATAGGTAGTTATGATATAGAGCACACAATCGTTTACATCACAATTACAATTGATATTTAGTTTTTTATATACAAGTTGTATTATTTTATTAGTCGTTTACCATACTATGTAATAAGCACACATGCACGCACATGTATTCCTCACATTTTGTTAAATCGAGAAAAGAACATTTTATCATCGCAAATTGATTTGATTTATTGTAAAATTTCTTTTGCGGTATTAAATACGCACGCAAATTTTTCGATTATCTGTACATAGGTGATTTAGTAATTGCTTATGAGCCCTGATTATCAAGTTGAAATTTAATTAAGCTAAGGTTTTATTAACATTTTGGGTAATTTCCAAGATTTCAATTTTATCTTAAAAGAAGAAACAAGACAGTTATTTTCTTATTTATACTTATAAAAATGCCAACAATATGCATAAACATCGGAAGGACAGTATTAATAATGTAAGGGAAAATTCTACGCGAAACTTACTTGTCTCGTGATCGGGAAGATTCTTCTCTCGCAGTGATAGAAATTTGCGAGAGATGGGCATGTTACTTTATTGTAAATTTATTGATCGGCGACAAGTAACGGAAGTTCGTCGTGAAGCCACATTTGTGAATGTATTTAAATGTAATTGTAATAACAAGCAAATTTAAGATATTACATTGTTACGCAAGAACATTAACGAGTCGGATTAATATTGTTACGTAGCAACAAGTACAATCCCAAAACAAGGGTCAACTCGCAATTAGATACAGAGGTCGCAGATATTTGTCCGTTTTTGAACGTCTACAAATTTTTTATGTGAACATCCGTTGATCACCACGATTGTATCCGGTACTATGAAAGTACGTGCCTGCAAACTCTAACGTTTCGAACGTAAAAAAAAAAAAAGAAAAAGAATTGTGCTAACTTTTGATTACCATAATTTCTTTAGGGTCGATGTGATAACTCCGATATTACTTCGCATTGTATATTGTCTTTTTTCATCTGAAATACAACGAACGTGTATATGGAATAAAACATGCAGAATTCCATTCGCCAGTACTTAGAGCCGAATTTTCCCGTGATACGACATGGAACAAATTTGGGCTCTACTGTCACTTTAACTATCTATTCGCGAATTCCGCGAATTGGGCGGCATATTTGTATAATAATATAGCATAAAAAAATTGGTAATTAGTTATCAAAAATTGATATTATTAATTATTAAAGGTTCTCTTATTCCTCTATGTGAGTATTCTCAAACGATTTTACTTGTATATTTAGTTTCTTCTTGTACATATTCCATGTTATCGTGTATGATTTTCAGAAAGAGGAAAGTATCTCCATTGCGATAATGTCAAATAGTGTCGCACAGTATAACACGATTCTTGCGACGGGATAAATATACTTATAATTTAAGGCATCTTCGATAATCTTCATGAATCAAATCAAATATATAGAGACATGAAGAAACGTGCGCAGAGATAAATTCAATGTCTTAAAGAGTAACAATGATAGGCATAATTATCATAATGATATTCAATTTGTGAATTTATTACCATTAAAAGTACGCCTTGAGGAGCGGCATCCCGAGGCAAGCGCCATCTGGCGGCGCGGCGGCGAATCTCTCCCTCTTCCCTCTCTCTCGGTCGACAACGCGTATCTACCGTCACGGTGTACATAATACATCGTTCCGGCATTCCTGATACGTGTCCGTCCATCCCGTGCGCGCGTGTGTCCCGCCTGTTGTTTCTGCTAGCCCCGCTACGAGCTCGGCATACATTACGAAATCTATATGGGGATTGTCCGCCGTCGCCGCGTCTCGCGTCTGGTGGGATCTCTCGTTCGTGTGTACGCGTAAAGGGCGCCCGGCCGGTCGGCGCGCCTCACCGTTCAGGAACAGATAAACATGCATCGGGGACGGCAGTTACTCTGCCTTCTGGCGCTCGGCCTCCTCGCCCTGCCGACCCGCGCCGACGAGCACACCCATGTCGTGAGTATACCCACGCCGCGGCATCCCGATACGTGTCTCACTCCGAGAGAAACTCCGACTGTCAGTGTCTGTGCCACGACACTCGCGGTTGACATTTAAAGGCCAAACGTTGCCCCGAAGGCATTCTTTATGTTATGTCTTTCTCCCTTTCTCTCTCTCTCCTTCTCTATTTTTTTATCGCACTTTGATTAGTGCATGAATATTAGCTCTATTTGATATGTATTGGGAAGTATCATGAGTAATTGCTGTCTAATGAGTTCCATCCTAATTCTATAATGTAGCTTCATTTCAGTCTAACATCGCGTTACTCTTTAACTTTTTCCTCTTACAAAATGCTATAACTTGAAATATAATTGCAGGGATCAGGAGAAGATCGCAGTTGATATAATGTTGACATATTGCTTACTTACTTTCAGTATGAGGATGGTGACGAGGTTGTACTATGGATGAGCACCGTAGGGCCGTATCACAATCGTCAGGAGACATACTCCTATTACTCTCTACCCTTTTGTACAGGCACTAAGAATGTCATCAATCATTATCATGAGACTCTTGCGGAGGCTTTACAAGGCATCGAGTTAAAGTTCAGTGGCTTAGATATTGAATTCAAAGGTATACAATTATGATCAAATACATTTATTTATAATATATTTACAATCAATGTTTCTTTGATCATGAATTAATTTTTTTATATATAAATTTCTAAATTATATAATTCAAATTCCAAAATGAAGCACTCGTACAGAATCATGAATGTTTAATGTGTTTCAGAGGATATCTCAAAGACAGAATACTGCCAGATAAGCTTAAATGAAGAAAGTCAGAAAGCGTTTGCATATGCGATAAAGAATCAATATTGGTATCAAATGTATATCGATGATTTACCAATATGGGGTAATTAACATAAATGCTTCTTGTTATAACAAAACAGAATCTAAGTAGAATTTAAGATTTAAACTTTTGCATTACAGGTGTTGTAGGAGAGATGGAAAACAATGATGGAATTGCAGTGGCAGATTCATATTATATCTACGCGCATAAAAAGTTTGATATTGGTTATAATGGCAAGCAAATAGTAGATGTTAATTTGACCAGTGATAACAAAGTGAAGCTAGTACAAGGCGCGCGTATACCTTTTAGTTATGAAGTCAATTGGAAGAAGAGCAATATCAAGTTTGAAGATAGATTTGACAAATATCTGGATCCTAACTTCTTTCAGCACAGAGTAGGTTTTATTGGCATTTTTGCTTTCTTAAATAACAAATACTAAACGTCTAGTACATAATTAAATTTTATATTTTTCTTTAGATACATTGGTTTAGCATCTTTAACAGTTTCATGATGGTGATTTTCCTCGTTGGACTTGTTTCAATGATTTTGATGCGTACTTTGAGAAAGGATTATGCAAGATATAGTAGAGACGAAGAAATGGACGATATGGAGAGAGATTTAGGCGACGAGTATGGTTGGAAACAAGTACACGGAGATGTCTTTAGACCTGCGAGTCACGCTATGCTTTTCTCAGCTCTCATAGGAGCAGGCTATCAGGTACATATATCACTGTCTTTATATTTTTATTTCTTAAAATAAGACGATAGAAAATTGTAGCTTTATTTTTATAGGTCACAGTGGTGGTGCTGAGCGTGATTATCTTCGCTATCCTGGGTGAACTTTACACGGAACGCGGTTCAATGTTGTCAACAGCGATATTTGTCTATGCCGCCACGTCGCCTATCAATGGTTACGCGGGTGGTGGGCTGTATGCCCGAATGGGCGGACGCGTATGGATCAAACAAATGATCCTCAGCGCTTTTATGCTGCCGCTCATGGTTTGCGGCACTGCTTTCTTCATCAATTTCATCGCCATGTATTATCATGCCAGCAGAGCGATACCCTTCGGATCTATGGTTCGTAATTGCATATTTCGAAGTCGATCGTTCTTGCTTTATATCTTACATGCATAATTCATGTCGATTGTACGTATACAGGTTGCGGTGACGTGTATCTGCATATTTGTGATATTACCACTGACACTGGTAGGTACCATTCTAGGCCGTAATCTCGCTGGGACACCGGACGCTCCGTGCCGCGTAAACGCAGTGCCTCGACCGATACCGGAGAAGAAATGGTTTATGGAACCGCTAGTGATTATAATGCTTGGCGGAATCCTACCCTTCGGTTCGATCTTCATTGAAATGTACGGAATCGCTTTAATTAATATTTTACATTGTCCATTTAAGTATAGTGAATTAATCTCGTCGTCTGCTCTTGTTGATACTTTTAGGTACTTCGTCTTTACCTCATTCTGGGCGTATAAGATTTATTACGTCTACGGTTTTATGTTGTTAGTGTTCGTTATCCTCATGATAGTGACGGTGTGCGTCACTATTGTATGTACATATTTCTTGCTGAATGCCGAAGACTATCGATGGTACGTTCGCATCGTATATATTTTTTCCTTGTTTATTTTTTCCATACAATGGAAAATAAATGGTAAATATATGGTAAATGGTAAATATCATCCGCAGGCAATGGACGAGTTTTCTTGCAGCGGCTTCAACAGCCGGTTACGTCTACATTTATTCCTTTTACTACTTCTTCTTCAAAACTAAGTGAGTAGACATTTTTTATGGCAGGCGATTTGATTGCAAGTGTTTGAAGTTTTTGTCTATAATTCGATATTTCATTTTTACAGAATGTACGGTCTCTTCCAAACAGCGTTTTATTTCGGCTACATGGCATTGTTCAGTTTGGCCCTGGGTATTATGTGCGGAACGGTCGGATATATCGGCACTAATGCATTCGTGCGAAAGATATATTCCACAGTCAAAATAGATTAAAAGGATATCACTGATCAAAGTATTCGCATCGTAGATTGGACGATGTAATTCCTGAAACTGCGCGTGCGCGACACTCGCTGCTCTCGACGAAATAAAATATACATTTCCTCCACCCAAAACGGCTGTCCGTTATGTTGCTCGAGAGTGCGATTCTTATTTTTCAGCTTTATGCTAGCCGTCAACTTAACTAATGATCGCTCTAGAAGCGGCGCGGTGTGTGTCCTTCGTCAACATACTATCTTCCAACGGATCCCACGCGCGCTTATTGTTTAAATATTCAGACAACGTCTTCATCTCGCATTTGTTCGTATTTGTCCGTTTTCTTTTGATACAAGTACATTCGATCAAAGATACATTGTACTGACATACACAACGGATCCTACTGTACATGTGCGTGTGTCGCAAATGCAGTCACCTGTCAATAATAAAATAATTGTAAGTGTTAGTCAAATCCCGTATGAGTCCGAGCTATTATACAAACAGAACTTCCGCAATCGTGTGCAAATTTAACATTGTTGTCATACATTTTTTATCAAATATGTGAGTAAACAAGATTGTAATAATCAATATATATATATTTAATATAATAATATATATATATACATCTAATAGTATAATATATATTAATTATTACATATATAAAGATTATATATATATATATATATATAATTGTGCACGATCGCGATCGTTTTTGTATATGTGTGCATACGTGTACATCTTACGATTTTGTTTGCGAACAGCATAGAAATTGATCGAACCATAATTGATCGTACAAAAATTATGTTTTGCTTTTTATTTAGAGATTTCAGCTCGGACAATGAGACGTAAAAGGAGACTTGATGCAAAATAATTTTTTTCTGGTTTTGAAAAGTAGACACGTGCAGTAACTGGAACTTTTGATTAAACAATACGAGATAAATCATATAGAGATGTGAGAAGTGATATTTATGAATTTATTAAATTCATAGTTTTATAAGATTCCTTCATTGGTATGCATATCTTGTATTAGAAAACTTTTGATTTGACTTAAATTTTCTAACTTTGCGACCGTCGAGTCAGTCTACCGATTATACGTTTCATTATCAACGGGAAGCCTTTAAGTTAGATGATTAGATTAAATAATTCAAGATAAGAAACAGAAATCGTGATATACGGCACCGATTCAAGATTTCGCTTACGGTATGACGACTGTGTGGATCATGATCTTGTCTATATCGGTTTTCCTCTATAAATATCCATCGTTAGGATTCGCGAATGAGTCCACATTCATTCTCTTCCGCGAGACGGGCAATCACCCGCATCGTAAGTTGAGAGATGAAAAAAAAAAATTCCGCAACGCAATTAGAGATAGATACTTGAGTAAGAGATATAATAACGATGAGAGTATTATGTTTCAGTGATTTTACCAAGAGACTAATGTTGGTGGGAGTCTTCGAAAATAAATGATCAATTTGTTGTTAGATGTAGCAATTCTGGAAAAAAATATAAAATTTCTACGTATACAACATTATCGCAATTTTCTCTTCTTTCTTTTCAGCAAAAGATTCTATCGCTGGAATTCCATTTTTATTTTCTATTTAATGTTTATTGTTTCATGTTGAGAGAATCTCACAATTCTCTATGTTTTGTATAAAAGATAGTTTTCAAGATTAGATAATTAAAAAGTTACTTAGCTTTAAATTTAACTTAGTTAATAAGTTAACTTTAACTAATTATCTTTAAGACACATTTTAATTTATTAACTTAAAAAAATTTTTTTATCTTTTTGAACGCCACTATTCTTTTTCTTATAAAGTCTTACTTAATTTCTTGTAAAATGTTAAACATTTAGACTATAGTACATTTTAATTTGGTATAAACAATATTTAAAAAAAATTAGCTTTTAAATTAATTCAAGTTTAACTTAACTTAGTTAAAAATAAAATTAAAAATTAACGCGACTCTGATAATTTATTATATATATATATATATATAAATAATGCTTACATAAGAATGAGTTATACAAGCAATGAAATTATTTATATAATAACTCATATATAACTCGTTCTCATTTATATAATCTTCACATAGTGTTATCAATAGTAATAAGTAACACGACGAGATATAAAATACGCTTTTTCAAGACACCTGATTTTTACTTGCCTAATCCAAAGTGTCAAAATTAATCACTTTTGATTCATTTCAAAGTATAACAAATTATTTCATCTAATACATAATATTTAAAGAGCAGAAAAAATTTCAAAATTTTCCCGCCGTAATGTAGCCACGGAAGCCGCATTCGAGTTAGGTGCGGGTCTGATTTTCTTTTTAACTTTCTCTATATTTAGTTATCGTTTCGCACTTTGCGCGTTCGGCCAGGATCAAAATAATAAATCGCGGTTTAAATCGTCGGGCGCGAAAGCAACGTCATCGACGACGTTCGGATTCAGCGGGAGAGAATCGCTCGGTTGATCGCTGCAGTGACAGTGTGGCGGAAGCGAGTGGCCGAGCGGGCTGTCGCGCAACTTCACGTGTCACACGGCGCGCACCACGTCGGCGGAACGTTGCACGCAACGGCGCACGCACAGTGCACACGGCGATATATACGCGGCGTGTTGTCCGGGGGTTGTGTGCTCCGCTCTCGCATCTCTTTCGCCGTTTTGTTCAGAGGGACACGGACGGGCGACGACAGCAATAGCGACGACGACGATGGCACCGAAGCAGCGGATGCGCATCGCGAACGAGAAGGCGACGAAAAACATCACGCTACGCGGAAACGTACCCAAGTCGTCGGTAAGTCGCCTCGGCCGAGCTACGAGTCCTCGCTCGTTAAATTCTTCGGGATTCCGGAAAGACAGAAAATGCGGGTTATCCCCCGCGGAGGACGGAAATTCTGTGCATACGGAGGACGTCCGCCGTGCCCCGGCGACGTTTGAGGAAATAACATATGGAGAGAAGGTTGAAATCGGAGAGATGAAAAGATTCGATTGTGTACGATGCGAAAGATCGCGTAACAACTCGATAATTTTATTCGCCGGCTCGATCACGAGGATATTTACGTGGATATTTATGTAATTGTCAGTTTGAAATATTGAGGTTATAGACGGACGTTTGTTTCTGACGTCGCATCTGTCAGAGCGATTGGTTTCATCTTTATTGTATCTCTATCGAAATCGTTTGTCAGCGAACAGCTTGCATGCATCGGTAAATAAAAGTGTGCCATATGTATATGTTTATATATAAGAGCTCGGACAGAAATTAAACATTGGAATGAGGAACAGAGAATTAAAAATTTCAACATATGTGACAAATCATGTTTCAATATACAATCAATGAATACATCAGGATGTTCTTTTATTGGTAGAAAATGATTGTCTGTTTCTAATTCTTTATTTTTAATTACTTGTTTATTCCTTTCATCGTGTCTAGACCTAAACATTAAAACCTAGTAGTATCTGTAGTATCAGCTAAATCAATATTGATAACGTTTCCAATATGACATTTACTGGACTGTCATTGAAAAAATTGGTTTATTTATCTGCTTCATCTGTTTACTCAAAGATATCCTTGATGTATTTAATCCTGTATAAATGTTCTATTTTTGTAGACCTATTCTGTAACTCTTGACGACAGTGTCATTATTATTACATTGTTGTGCAATGTTACTGTTGTTAAGAGTTTATAGAATAGACACTCTGATATTTATATCTATAACCATACTAAATAAAAGTTTTTATTATACTAGAAATCGCAAGAAGAAGGATCTCCAGTTGGGCCTTGGCTTTTAGCTTTATTCCTTTTTGTCGTTTGTGGATCTGGTAAGTAAACATGTCTAAATATTTATTAATGTATAATAAAACTTTCTTCTTCTTGGCACTCTCTCTCTCGGTTCTCATTCTATTAAAGCTTATATAAAATGTTTTATTCATGTTTATAAAGATAATTTTATTCTTTGCATGCAAAGTGGCAAATGTAAAGTTATGGTAATAAAAAGGATAGGAATGCAGATGCTAAATGTGCTAAGAATAAAAAAGTTGGCAAGAATTTTATATACAAATTTATAAATTTATAAATCTTTCTTAAAGCTCTTTTTATTTATACCAAATAGTTTTAATCGTTAAATTTTCTTTTACAGAGTAAATTGTAACTTAAAAATTATTTGTTACAGCCGTATTTCAAATCATCCAGAGTATCAGAATGGCTTGAAGATGGGGAGAACAGAAAACCGCTACTGTTGATTTTAATATAACAAACCGTTTATACAATTCGTCGATATTGTACGATATTATGCGAAAGAGACTGACAGATTGTTTATGACAGATTATGAAAAAAATATCGAAAATGAGAAATGGAAAAATTTAGACAGTAGCTAGAAAATTATTTTCCTTTTGCAGAAGCTCAAAGATTTATTTATAACATTTAGCATTTATAAGCGTTTAACTTAATTGCGCTACGCATGGACGAAAGGAAAGTATTCGAATATATAAAATAATGTTTCAACAAGATATCAAATTTATGAATCGAAAAAATTAAAATATAAATATTCTCATAATTCTTTATCATGTTCCGAACATTAACGATTCTGTTAACGCGTTTCGCTGTGTTGCTTTCTCTGAAATATATCTTTTCGTCTATGTGTATGTAAAAAATAATTGTATATACATGATTTATTGTGCAGATTTCTCCTCAAGCAGATCTGCCCAATTAATAGCATACTCATCTCCGGTAATTGGACAGACCTGTTTCAAAGCATTCCACTGTTAGCAGTTGGTAGCTTTCTGTTATCATAATGGTCTTTGTACGTTGCTTATGTGTATAGGCAACACATACGCGATAGGCCATTATACATATACTTATACAAATATATATTATACATCTCAAAAAATGATTTGTCTATGAGATATTTGCTACTGACAGTGCACACACATTGTCTCTTTTAATAAAGTATATTATCAATAAAGATATATATTGTTTTACATGAAACATATTAAAGCGTTTGTTTCTCTAAAGCAATTCCTTCCTGCGTATAATGTACATAATTATAATGTTTTTCAGTCCGATATGTATTTATTTTGTATCATTATCGCTAATGAATAATTCTTGAATGTTCCGTTGACATTCAGTTGTGTAAACACGAAATTTTATCTTACTTATTTTATTTTTTATTCAATTTTTTTTCTCTTCATAATATCTTCATTATGTTATTTTTCTCTTTTATCTTTATAATAAAAAATAATTCGTAGGCCTTTGATTTACAGTATGATACTTAATACATATTTATGTAAATATTTTTAATTTAAAAAACTAATAAAATAAATTTTATTATTAAAGTATTATGTAGATTGTAAAAATAGGTCATTTCAAATTGGCGCCATTCATAGTTCAGTCCTTCAATGGAAAGATGGTGGTCAAAATGGTGCCAAATTGCCTTACTGTTTCTTCTAGACTTTATGACTATCTACATGATCTACATCTTCAATGAACACAACGCAACAAAATCAAACTTGTTATTATTGTGCGGATTTAAACGCCCAAACGGTTCCTTTGTTTTTAAATGTCGAACGAATTCATAAGATTATTCATAAGGTTATTCATCTGCTTCAAGTGATAGAGAAAAATTGTGAATCTACATTGTAACTGAAAGTGAAACTCATAAAAGACTAAGTGTAGATATTACCACAATGTCCAGTATATTCAATTTATTGAGCGGGCTCAACGAGTCTGATAGAGGTGGGCGATGAAATGTATTTCTGAAATTATAATTTTTTTATATTTAAATGTTAAATATAAGATTAATGTTCACTTCTACCAGTGTAGATTAACATGATATTAATTTCAGCTTCTTAAAACTTACTTTATCTCCTTTTAATTTAGGAAAAGGAAAATTTAAGAGGTAAATTAAAAGTAAAATAACATATTAATTTGTTTTTAGGTCAAATAAAGCCAATTGCACGATCTAAGACATCTCATGAGATTAGACCAAATTCTCTTAAGACAATGGGAGTTACAAAACCAAAGGGGCTATCAATAAGATCTAATTCCGATATGAATATTTCTGATATACATTCAATCAAGAAAAATGTAATTGGTAAAGAACAGGATTGTCTAAAGTTGAAAGTAACACAAGTAGACAGTAATGGATGTCCAATATCTCCAGGAAAGGCAACATCAACAAAGGTAAAGTAGATTCATTTTTCATGTATTTTCTTGTATTAAAAACGTAATATATGTTGTATAATTTATGAAAAAATTTTCTTTTAAATCTTAATTTTGTTACAAATTATATTTTTTAAGAAACTAAAGATCTTTAGCCTCTGTTATAAATTTTTTCTTTTATTATAAAAATTGTCTAAGACTAAAGAATCTAATCTGAAGGAAGAAACTATGACTATAAAATGTACAAAAAAGCAATCAAATGATGGTGTTTTTAAAAAGCCATTGCCTCCTAACAAGAATGTCAAAAGATATCCTGAACCAGAAAAATTAGCATATTGGTACGACAGTCAACATGATTTTGGTATATGAATTATTTTTATTTAATAGAAAGATAAATAATCATATATTTGAGCTATTAGGACTACTGTTATTTAAAATACTTTCACAAATTAATTTTTCATATAGATTATGGATACATTGAGGCTGTGGAAAAAGAATTTAAAGATATGCTCTCCAAGAAGAAAGAGAATTTAAAACATTGCAAAGAGAATGTGCTTATATCAGGTATGAAACTTATAAACTTGTAATATATTTATAACTTATATGTGATATTTGTAATTTTACTTATCAATAATATCTCTGTTTTAGATTCAGATGCATCACTTTTAGAAATTCCAAAACTTATTTTTGATAAATCGTATGACAAAGGATACGAGGAACTTGTAACTCCTGACTTACCTGAAATATCTGATATCTGATGATGAAAATTTGTAGTGATAACTAAAAGAAGTGTTACTCTTATAATGTATTTTGTATTCTTTTTTAAAAATGGATATTTAAGATCAAATTAATATTATAATAATTTATTTTCTGTAATTAATATAATATTTTTGTAGTTTCTGATAAATACCATATCAAGAACAATAATAAATATCAAATACCAAGAACATTATAATAATTAAATATTTATTAAATTATTTTAAAGCAAAAGACAACCCAAAAATAGTTTGAATTTTGTAATATTTTTATAATAAAACTACATTGTAATTTTTAAGTCTTTTTAAGTCTTTTTAAGTCTTTATGTTATTAATCTCAGTCATTTTGAGGAAAATACTAGGTGTTCTCTCATTCTTTTATT